TGAGGGAAAGGTAAGTTTTATATTTCTAGAAATAATTAATTTCTTCATAGATTATTATTTTCCTTTCATGAGATTTTCGTCCTCATTTTCGCGGGATATATTTGAAATAATAGTACTAGAAATTGAATCAATAATAATAGAAATAATAATAGCAGAAATTAAAAAATTGATTCCAAATCATAGGTCATAATATTCAAATAATGATATTCTTTTTGTAATATCTTTTATATATTTTTATAAGATCATTTATTTCCTTATGATACAAAAATATCATATATATATATCGGATAGACCAATCCTTAAAATATAAGAATATAGTATTCATAATATTAAATTCATTTATTATTAGTATGCTGCAGATAATTCAAAAAAAATAAGAATTAAAGAATTATTGCTAAATATTTTTTAAGTTAAATTTCATTCCCTAGAGATAGAATCTATAAAAAAAATATTAAATCTATAATTATAAATTTATATAACATATATCTTTCAAACCTCCCACGACCCAAATCTATCATATCCTTTTGCTCATAGATCATTATTTCTTTTCGTGGACCTATCGTAATTCGACGGACATTCTATTCTCATATTAAAACCATTATATACAATCTCCAAATAATTTTTTTAAATCAATTCTCAATAATTTTTCTATAATCATTCTAAAATTCTCTATTTTCTAGAAAATAAAATCTTTTCGAATCTAGATATTTTCTATTAATTCATTCAAGTATTTAAATCGCCCCTCCAAGAAATCGGCTAGAAATTGCATCTTTCCTTGCCATCATGAAATCAAAATTAGTATTTAAAACGAGAGGTAATTTTTTTATGGGAAGAAAAATATGATCTTGATTTGCATAGTTTTCAGCTCGCATCAGCTGCTGTACACGATAAGTGGGTCTCTAGCCGCGCTGCACGGGAACCTCCGACACTTCCTGGCCAAGCTTAGTCAGGATCAGCGAACCAGACCATAACCACCAGAGTTCATAGCTGGTTTTGAACAAAATTGTTGACTACGCCGTTGTGTTGCACATGGCGCTGCAGGGAAAACACTACTATCAACCAGGATGCAGATGGAATGGCGCAAGTGCTGCTGAGCGCTTGATAGGATCAAGCTGAACCGAACCGCAATGGGCCTGGCGAATCTGACCATCGGGACCGCGCGTCTGCACGATGATCTGTAACCTTGACATACAAACAAGATTCTGTTACAAACTACCGGAAAGATTCAGAAATGTCCGGTGCATTGCAGGTAACATTTGTGCAGTTGAGCCCAAACGAATAATCTCAAATGTTTCCTGCCCAGAAACACTTCTCGCCCATCTGGCTTTCGCACCTAAGGTAGAATCAAGCTCACGACAGGTCGCAGAACTAAGTTGCTGTAGATCTGCAGGCAGGTTGTAACTGCATGCTGCATCTCGCAAGGCTATGTTGACTACTCAAACTTGCAGGTTTGCCAAATGCATCCTCATGCTGTACCAGTGAAACCGCAATTTCCGTGTTTTGAATCATCGGCCTCTCTCCGCTCTAAGACTGGGCAAAGATGCCACGCCTGCAGCTCGGACCCTTCTGTCCATGACCGCATGTCCATGGCTGCTCTTAGCGATGTTGTCTGAGCCATGGCCCTGCACAGGTCTGATGGGAGCCTTTCGGTCACACCAAGTTTCTTGCCATGCGTTTCGAAGGCCAGCCGATAGCGATGCAGGAAGTTCCGCGGACACCAGGTTTGGCTCTCCGCGTACTCGGCGCTCGACGAGTACTTGCCGTCCATGATCAGTGCGTGCCCGGTGTGAGCGGTGTGTGCTCGAATTTGGTGCCGCCGTCCAGTTCCGATGCGGATGGCCATGAAATTCAGGGCCACGCCGCGCTTGACCAAGTGCGCGAGGACTTTGCAGAAACTGCGCGACGCCCGCCCGAAGGGCAAGACTGCGCTGGGAGCGTCTGCTAAGGCTGGGGAGTCCCACCAGTGAACCGGAGCCTGAATTTCTCGACGCCGGGGTGCCATCCAACCGTGGCTCATGACGGCATAGTCCCTGACCATCAAAGCCGTAGCAAGTTGAAAATGCAGGTCGAAATAGGCCTTGTGGCTAGTGGCCACTAGGAGCAAGCCAGAAGAAGGCACGTCCAAGCGATGAAGAAATCCGTGCTGCTTGGAAGCATCTAGGAGCAAGGCCGGACAGCCATTAGAGGGATAATACATGGCCCTGATGAACTCAGAGAGCCGCCCCTTCTCCCGGCTCTGCTCTTGTGACGACAGGTCCACCTCCCAGCCCGGTGGTTTGAAGACAACCAGAACGTCCTTGGCAAGCCACGGTGGAAACTGCAAAAGAGATGTGACTGGAACTTTTGTAGATTGTAGTCTTTGCATGTCCTGACTGTTCACTCCAAGCTTCGGAGACGGCCTTTTTGATGAAGGGCTCCATACTGCTGGAGGTACCCGAAAGGCCAACCCGACTGGGGACGGCGGGAAGAAGCTTCTCAGCCGGATCCAGGCGTGCACCCAATCGGCCCAAGGAGCTCCTCGCAGCAAGCCTTGCAGGCCCTGCCTGGGTGTCAACAAACTACCTATAGTCTTCATTGTAGTTCCTTTTTTGGGGGGTTTAACCAATTATATATTAAGGAATTTATAAGGTCTCCCCAAAAAGGAACTACAATGGAGACTATTACTCCGTGGAAAGTACATCGGTGAGACGGCTTGCCACCACGCTTCCTAGTGCTGACATGATACCAAGGTGTCAGCGAAACTGCTTGCCCAAAGGATTGTCAGCGTGGCATCCACGAATTCCATTTGCCATCCTGGGGCATTCGAGCCATCGGTCCACTAGATGTCCAAATCGACTTATGGCCTGCACAGAGCTAGCCTGTATACATACCCCTGGCCAGCGGATGTCAGAGTCAGTGCACGAACAGGCATGAATCAACTGGTTTGCCCTCTTTTCAGCCAGGCTGCGGTAAGACTGGCTCTGGGAGAGTTGCGGCAGCCTCCGGACGAGCTCACGTTGAACGGCAAGCAGCACAGCAGCTTCGCAATCTGCAATGGACAGGGCCCACGCCAAGTTTGCCAGACTCGCTGCTTTCAGTAGCCGTCCCTCTCCGTTCTCCAAGCGTCCCCTTGCAGTCTTGACCAGGCCACCGAGAGCATCTGTAGCCGACATGGATGCCAGAGACCACATCACAGAACAAAGCTCCGAGAGTTGAATGTCTGAAGAAACTTCCTGCAAGCGTGCTTCGAGATAAAACTTCTCAGGTCTAGAAGCTCTTGAATTCAAGCTAAAAAAAGTACAAGGTGTTGCCAAGTCTTGTCCCAGACACACTTAGCACGAGCTGCGAAAGGTTGCCAGATACCTGCTTGACCATGCTGGGTGAAGATGCAAAGTGTCTCGTGGTCCTGGCAAGTCTCCACGACAGCTGGGAAAGATCTGACCCCGATATTTCTGCGCCAGCGGAATCGATGCTGAAGCTGTCGGCGAGCAAGCTGTTGGTAATCGCCCCTAGGGTGTAAATGGGTGTATCGCAACAGATCACAACTGTACACTTTGCTGACTTACACACCTTAACCAACCCGGAACGACTTGTTGAAAGCATGTCGTCGACACCTGCAGGAGTTGATGTGTCCAAGAGCAGGTTGGAGACCATCTGCCAGCGACCTTGACTCTGACAAGCACTAATGGCTGCAGCCGTTGATCCATGGGTGGGCAAAGCTGCGAAGATCTTTATGTCTGCGAGAAGGCGGACTGCCACGTGCCAAAGACCTCCTTGCTCACAGGCAGAGATAGCAGAACTGCAAGTGATGGCATCCGGGGTCAGTTTCAGCCTAGCCATATCCCGAAGCAGCTCCAATGCCAGTTGCCACTGCAGCCCTCGCTCACATGCAGAAATCACTGAGCTGTAAGTAACGAGATTGGGCGTGGTCATATCTTCGAGCATTCGGCTTAGCATCTGCAGGGCGGGCTGCCACTCAGCAGCATCCTCACAGGCACTGATGGCAGCACTGTAGCTGATGACGCTAGGCTGCAGTCTTCGTTCCGCGCAGTCTCCGAGCAGCATCATTGCCGACTGCCATCGCGAACCTCTTGCACAAGCGCAAATTGCAGCACCGAATGTTGTTTCCTGTGGTAGGCATTCTGCCACCATCGCCTCCAACGCGCAGAGCGCAAGCTCCCACTGCCCACCCTTTTCGCATGCACTGATCACGGCATTCCAGGATATGCTGCTGGCCTCTGTCCCCGCCGTGCTCATGTCGTCCCAGAGCTGCAGTGCTCTTTGCCACTGGCTTGTGCGTGAGCATGCAGTAATCGCTGCCGTATAGCTGAAACAATCTGGGCACAAAGACGCCGTGGCATTCATGTCTGCCAACAGTTGCAGTGCAAGTTGCCATTGCTCGCCGTTGGCACATGCAGCAATGACCGGATTGCAGCTTATTATGTCCAGCTCCAGCTTTGATGTGGTCATGCCCACAGATAAGGCCAGTGCCGCCTGCCACTTGCTTGCCTTCTCACAGGCGCTGATTGCCGCACTAGACACGATCTGGTTTGGTGCACACTTCTGGCTGTACATGGTGGAAAGGAGGTCGATTGCATGTTGCCACTCATGTCCTCTTTCACACGCAGTGATGGCTGCACCATACGTGATCTGGTTTGGCACAGTCCGGGCTCCATGCATGCCCGCCAGAACGTGTAATGCCTGCTGCCACTGGCTTTTGCTGCCGCACACTGTGATTGCAGCACTGTAGGTAACAACATCGGGGGAGACCAATTCATCTGTCATCAAGTCCAGCAAGTGGATGGCTTGCTGCCAGCTGTCCCCTTCCAGAGCTGTCATCGCCGTACCAAAACTGATTTGATCCCTCTGAAGGCTTTGGTCTTGCATGGTTCGCAAGAGAGACATGGCCATCATAGACTCTCTTCCCCGCGCACAGGCCGAAATGGCAGCATTGAAAGTTATTTCAGTCGGTAGAATTCGCCGATCTGCGGAACAAGCCTGCAGTAGATCTAGGGCAACTTGCCATGCACTGCCTTCGGCACATGCACTGATCACAGAGTTGTACGTCACGATGCTGGGATCTAAAGCCACTATCCTCATCTTGGATAGCAGTCCAAGAGCAAAGGCCCAGCGGCCTTCTCGCTTGCAGCCAGATAAGACGGCATTGTAGTGGAAGGTGTTGGCTTCCACGTGGTTCTGAACCCTGGCTGCGCCACTTTCCGCCTATTCCCCACGACATAACCCGAGAAAAGCAAACCGATGGTCGATGCTGACTGCTGACCAGGCTCATGAGCTCCACAGCCTTGGCTTCTCAACGAGCATTCTCCAGTTAGCAACAACCCTCGGAATGCACCCGTGCCCAACAGCAACAGCACTCAATAATCGTATGCCGGGCAGCTGACATGGCCTCGTCAACGCGGCCTTGCTTGGACATCTTTGAGATGGCAGCCGTGGCCTCTTGTGGATGTGTGCGCCACCGCTCCGGTGGCAGCGGCGGTGTAGCCTTGGCTGCCGGTCACGAAAAACCCGAACCCCATTACAGAAACGTACGTTGAGCAGACGTTGATGGTCAGCCGGAAGCTCTTCCAAACGACGCCTCCTCTTAGCAATCGTCATACTCGCTCTTCATTCTACAGCCAAATCTGCGATCAATCCCAGTATAGTCAGCATAATTCCTGAAATGTATGTGTTGTCTAATGCCATATTCAGGTCACCGCAACTCTTTGTCGAGCATGCTGAACCATCTCGCCATGGAGCAGCGGCCCTATGTCGCACGCTCAATTCTAAAGGTCTTCTTCAGCCGAAACATGGCAGGGACATGTATGGCTTAGCAATTTCTCTCAGGCTGGTGCAGCAGTAGATTGACTTTGTTATTCAGGAAGAAGCCCTCTCAGAAGTAGACCATCCTCTGTTGCACCGTCTTCTGCTGTGCATAACCACCTTGGCTAAGCTGCCGGACCACATGTCGAAAAGAGTGCTTGAAAGCCACCTAACCATCATGCACTTCGAGTGTGGCATTACCTAGTCGGAACCGTGTTTTGCAAATTTATTCTCCTTCCACAAAAAGCAGTTCAAGACTAAAGGCTGAAACCTCAAGCCAAACACTGATAGGCTGCTGGCTGCCAATCATAAACCACTGTCAGCCCACGCGCCAAAATGTCCGACGCTTTTGTGCAGTCATGTCATTTTCAGCCCTGGTGGCAGCATGTACGGCTTATGGTTCAGGCTTTCTCGCGATTTCGTTGACTCATAAGATGTAGCTCGCCACCAACTCTGGCAGGCCTGTGACTATCGTGTCGCACTCCTCGGGTTGCCGTGCCACGGCAGCATCAAAAGACCAGATGGAAGTCGGGTGGTGCATTCGGCTTCGTAGCAGCTTCCAGCCTTCCCTAAGACGTCCTACAGTGGTGACATCTAACAATCTTCAGACTTCCTTGCGGCACAAAATTCTATCAAGACCACACCTGGTTGACTTCAGATTGGTTGCCCAAGCGCCTCCGCCGCCGAAGGGCGTGTTCACGAAAGGACTCGTGAACATGAAGCTGTCCAGGCCCATGCCCCCTGTCAACGATTTAAGACGAGGCAGAGGGTGGAAGTGGGCAAGCGTCAGAGGGATTGAGAGGCATGGTAGCTATCATGTTTTTCGAATCTGCTGAAGCCATTCAGCGATGACGAGCTACTGCTGAGTGCTGAATCCAGAAATCGTCCACACGTTCCAGTGGCTAGCTCGGACCTAGGGCTGAGAGACACTGTTCTGCCTGCCGCGTTCACGGCTTCGGCTGGCAACCTGTGTCAGGACGCATCAGGGACTCGCAAGACTAAGCAAGCCAATGTCAATGCGGGGTCGTGCAACGTCGTGCATGCGCTGCTCATGCAATCCCAGTCGCCAAACATCGCCAACGCCCTTCACAGTCACTTTGGCCGTGTTGTCGTCGCGGTCCACCTTCAGGTCTGTGCACTCCTAGCCTTTCTGTAGCGCATTTCTGCCTCGCCTGTATGCAACATATGCAACTACTTGCAGGATGCTAGGTCTGCTGGAGCTCGTCGCCTGGCCCCCGTGAGCAGACGCCCGTGCCTTGATGACGCGCCCTTCCTTGCCCAGGGACTTTATCCTGCTTTCCAAGGCATTCACGTAAGCTCTTTCACAGGGAGCTGGGCTTTGCAAGCGCCTTAGGCCGTCATTTTCGCTGTCGATGCCCGCTTTCCGGCAGAGAGCCAGCACTCGGTGCTTGTCTGTGTGCACCTCGTCCGCAGTCGCGAATCGGCTTTGAGAGCATATATATATATATATATTATATAATATATAATATATATATAGGCGTAGTCAGGACATCTCACAATGTGAGGCAAGTGGAACATCAACTTGAGGAGTGTGTCAACGACATCTCATAGCTGTCATAGCATCTTCTTCCTGCCAGAATCTTGCTCTGGCTTGACTCTCAGAACCCACCTTCTTCGTAAACACATCCTGCAGTGCAACTGCACAAACTGAATTGCCTTGACAGTGGAGCCAACGCCGATGATGCCAGGGGAACCAAAGCCCTGGGCAAGCAGAGCATGAAACTCTCGTGGATCGAAATCGGAAGCGGCAACAAGCCTGTTCGCCCAAGAACCCCCCGACATTGCGGAGTTCGAAGCCTTGAATCCACCGGTTTTTTGCAGCAAAGAGACTGGAATGTCCTGCATGCCCTGCATGCCCCGGAAGAGCTGCGAGGCAGGGGCAGAGATTCTAACTCCGTTGCACAAACCACGTGACTGATTTCAGTATGGTAACCCTAAGCCCTAAGTGGGGGTTTCCGAAAATAGGGGACCCTAATCGAGTACCCTAAATAGTAGGATCCTCACTATAAGGGCCCCAAAATAAGGTACCCCTAATTTTCGGAAACTCCCAAGTAAGGCCCTAAACCCCTAAAGGCATACCCATACGAGATCAACATCTCTTCGCTCCCACGTTCTGTGCAGGCATGCCTCGTGGAAGCCACCCTGTCCAAACACCTGGCACGAGAATCACGGCTACTTGTTGCTCTAAGAATCCTAACCCTGATTGGGGGCCATGGCAAGTGCTGATAAACTTGCCCAGGCTTAGGGGGAACTTCAGACAGTTTGACACCGGCCACGGAAGCGAGGGCTGCGGGTAAAGAAGGCACTTGCCCACAACCGGGAAAGGTGGGTGTACTCCTTCTAGATCAATCTCGCACATACGAAGGGCAACAGATTCAGACGGTACAAAAATCGGCTCTCTTGAGCCCAATCCAGAGGAGGCCCCATGATCACTGCGATCATGTCATCCCATGTTCAGGAGCTCTCTGCACCCAACCTGTCGGAAGAGGTCCTCCGCGCTTGCCTTGGGCCGAACGAAGTCTGACAAACAACAAGAGGTGCCCTGCAGATGAAGGGCGACGTCAATTTGTCCGGGAAAAGGGTCATCTTCCGCAGCTTGATGAAGAATGATGAAGAGTGGACACCGTGAGTCAAACTTAGGCTTCAAGTCGCGCTTAAACGGCGCGGCTGTCCAAACCTTGGGCATTTCTCCGCTGTCGCAGGCAGCTGGCTGATCCTATGTAGGTCCTTGGCCATTTGACAAGCATTAGCTTGCAAGCCGCTCTTCGGGTTGAGCTTGACCGATGCGACCCATCAATGAACGACTTACGGCGGCAAGCAAGTAACTAAGCCGAACACGTCTTCTTCGGTTAGGAACCAGTCATGCTCGGGCACGGCCCTAGGATCGGATGTCCAAAGTCGATCATGTGTCAAGGTCGCCTAGTCACATAATAATCACAATGGCAGACTGGCATGCCAACGAAGCTGATGGCACGATGCTAGTAGGTCATCGCTTGAAGGTTTGGCATAGACCTCCTGCTCAAGTTATATCGCTCGTTTAGCCAATCAGGAGTCCGTCGGTCTTCGGTGCCCGGTGCTGCCATCATCTCACGCAAGGCTAGTCCGCACTAGGAAAAGCGGACACGCGCTTCGCGCAGCCTGCACTGAAATCACGTCGCTAAAAATCAGCAGAGTTGGGCAGCTCAGAACGTAGCCGTTCTCCCTTTCGCTGTTTGAGATGCGTGGATGGCCCTGTGCAGGCACCGAAAGAAGTGAATGCTGTGAGCTGCGTGGATAAAATCCAGAATATCAAAGCCTGAAAGTCCCCAATTTGTCCGTTTGCCCGTCGAGGACTTAATGCTTGAAACACGGCTCGCAACGCATGGGGGCCTGAACATGGTCTTCCACTGGTTCTTCCACTGGGTCCGTGGTCGATGGCCTTGGGAATTTAAACAAATAGATTTCCCATGGTCTTTCTGATCGTCTGCATTGAGCTGTGCTATGCCGCTCACACATCGTCACTTCTTACAAACCTGGGACTCGAAATCCCACACTTCGAGCTGCAGACGGCCAGATCCCGCCAGGCTCTCCTGTCAGTTCTGAACAGCGGATACTGGCTTGAAAGGTGGAACATGGGGAGTCTTGTATGACTTACCTCACGAACCCACAGTGCGCTGCTCACTGCTTGGTTGCACATGCTGGAGTCGGCTGGACAGCAGCAGAGTCTTGCTGCAGGTAGATTTCAAGAACCGCACATGCCCGCCTGGCGCTGCCGGTCGACATCATCGAAGAAGCTGGGAAGAGTGTAACTACCGGGAGGTGGCGCCCTGGCGGCCAGCCTGCAAGGCTGTTTCCAAGCTGTTTGCCAAGCTTCAAATCCAGAAAGAATTCTTGCCATTGGACCTACTACTCCACCAGCAGCTGCAGCTGCCGTCTCTTGATGATCAAATCGAGGTTTTGCCACGAACTCTGCGACAGCACTTGGGACCACAGAATTAAGCTCGATGGCTGAAACTAGAGCAATCTGCATCCCCTCATCGCAGCAATTCCCAGCCTTCGCTCTCTCACAGCCTCCTGGGGGTCCTCAGGAGCAGCACAACACATCGGTGAAGTGCGTTCAAAGTCTGCACTAGTGGAACACTATTATACGCGACTCATGGACTTGTGGCGTACACGTCGAATAGATCGTCTCGGCTCGATTGCGATGATTTTCGACCCAAGGCAAAATCCTCCAGGGGCAGGTCCCTGCTGTCACCCTCTCTCCCCAAGAAGGTCTTCACTTCGCAGAACGCCTGAAAACTCGAGGAACCTACTGTAAAGCTGCGAACATCCCGACAAGTGGAAGCCGCTTTACTTCTTCAGCACACCTCAAAGGCGATCAAACTCTCCAAATCGAATCCGAAACTTCTTGAACCAAAAACGCCAGCAGGTTTAGGAAGTATGCCCAGCTGTCTTGGGTGGTATGCGGTGCTTGCCTCCGGAGTTTCGGGTGTAGAACTGGAACACAGCGCAAGATGAAAGGACAAGCGGGCCACCCAAAACCATGGCAAACTGTTGAAACTCCACCAAACTCTGAAGAGCTGGCCTTTGGACGTCTGGGGCTTGTAAAGAACTGCTTTTGAACGGCTTTCAAGCATTTCAGAAGCTTCAGCGGCTCTGAAAGCTCGCAACTCGCTTTGTCTTTCTTCCTGTCGAAAGGCTGGTGGAAATCTGAAGTCGGGAGAGCTGGGGCTCTTCAAGATGTTTAGCAACTTCGTGAAGTTCTTCACGCCGAATTGGGTTTTTGGGTTTAAAGAGCCGAAGCCGCAGCTTGGCACAACATCTGGATGCAATCAAAGCAGGTGTTCTGAGCCCTCCCACGCCACGGGCCATGGACCAAGCCGTCGAGGAAGGCAGCTGCCTGCAAGGCCGCCGACGGAGATTGGGGGCGATTCAGAACAGCTGAGTCTATGGATGTTCCTGGCAACGTGTGCGTGCCGGCCTCGCTCAACCTAACTTCAACACGATCACAGTCCGCGACAATGCGCCGACTTTTCCGGCTGAGTCATACAGCAAGGGCCAAAAGGAACATGGGTTCAAAAAGAAATACCAATAAGAGGTATTGCTTGGGTACTGCCTCCATACAGTAACAGTCTGTAATAGGGCTACTATTAAGGGCCTAATATATCCATAATATAAATATTATCCAACTGTTACTGAGTGGGGGCAGTACCCAAGGTGTTGCGAAGAGCGGTTCTGTGGGTGCAGTGTTGGCACCGGGCTCAGAGACTCCTGGGGCGCCCGCACGCGCTTGTGTGCCGCAACACCGTCCGGGAGCGGGTACTGACCGGGGCCTTGGAGATCACGCGTACAAGACAAAGGCCCTTAATAACAATAACAATATTATTTTTTTCATAATAATGATAATAATAATATTGTTTTGAATAGTCATATTAACAATAATAATGATGAAGGACCTGTATGAACAACAGCCTCTGACACTCTAAGATCCAAGCCAGTGTCGAGATCCCTGTCGACGGCACCTGTCAATCGGATCAATTGCACAACTCGGCGAAAAAAGACGAAGAAGGACGACATTGCAGTGACAATTCAAGTGGACAGCAATTTGTGGGCACTACCTGGCTCCTTTCTCCACACAGGTGTCCTCCGAAAAAGCTCTCGTGCATAACATGCCGGCGGTGCCCACGATGCCCTTCATGACGCCCGTGCGCTTGTGGGTGCGGGACTGATGCAGATTCAACTTTCGCCGAAATCGTGAGAGCACAAATCGGTGCTTAAGGGTCTGGTGCGCATCTCAGGGCAGCCAAGACATTCTGCTACAGTCCCCCCTTGCGGCTGGGACCTCGTTGGCAAAGGTAAATGTCGGCGCGGAGAGTGCAGCACTGAGTTTCCTTGCAAGTCTAGAGGTCATGGGTTGGTCAGACGCCCCAAGCTGCGGCTGCTGCACGGAGCTGTCATGAGCTGTCGGTAGTCACCGAATCAGATCTGGGGCCAGATCCCTTTCCGCACTTCTGCAGTCGGATCGACGACAAAATCACCTGTGGAAGCAATGGACGGGTAGTGTGCGATGAGAGCGAAACACCGTGCTGCTGGGTTGCGATCGATCTTGTACTGCCCCGGTTCCAAGTGCCTGGTGCGAAGACTGCAAGCTCTCTCTCATGGACGCCTTATGTTGAAATGGCGAACAGCTTCGGAGCTTCTGCTTGCATCAGCCCGAACTGATCTTCTGCTGGTTAACATGCCAGCAGATCTGGGCTGCGGTTGCCCCGACTTTGTCGGAGAACCATGTCTCGTTCCAGCCTCCAGCGCTGAAGCTGCAGCTGACTTGAACCCAACTGGTGCAGCTGCAAGACGGGCACCCCGTCTTAGCAGTCCGAACTGCTAAGCGATCTTTGCCCTCCCCTGGTCAGGTTTCAGCTCGATGTGACTACGGGGCTGCACCAAGACCATGGCTAATGGTCCATTCCGGCGATTTGCGCTTGTCCCCCAACTTGTCCAAGTACCTGCAGAGTGACTCGGTGACTCTCTTGAAAATTGAGCTCCGAAGGCTCTCCCTGTGACAGAAGGCGGACGCTCGCAGCTCGAGCAGATCCGGTTCCTTCGAGTCTAGCATGGCCGGAAAGAGTGAAGTGTCTAGAGTCTCCGATTCGCAGCTGAGAATGACCATGAGGCTCGTTCAGAAGCCTTTCGGCAAAGATGTGCCAGCTTGTTCTGCAACAGGAATGGCATGGTTTCTTACAGTCTCCTAATTCAGGCGAAACTCCTAAGCACGGTGCTCGCGCCCTGCAACCAGGACCTATCTGCTTCCGTGGTTTGGACCGAAAGCGGCATTGTGCAGACAAGTACGTCTCGCTGAGTGACGTCCGGCAGTCAAGAGTGCAGACTGTTGCTCTTTGGAGACTTCGTCCGTTCTAGCGATCCTTAACAAGGCCAGCAATACGATGTTTGGACACCAGACATCATGGCATGTCTTTGCGGCATGAGACAGTTTGTCACTGCTTGGGCATATCCACAGTGCTGGATGCTTTCACGATTACGGCCCTACAGAACTCACCGCGATGCAATCAGGCAGTTCCACGCAAGCAACCATCATGTAAGCCTCCCTGCATGCTACATGAATTCAGAAGACGATGTGTTGAGGAGGCTTTTGCGGCCATCGCAGAACTCGGAGAAATCACAGGTCTTCAAACAAACTGCGACTAGGATACGGTCATCTAAGATGAGGCGGCTGACTTTCTGAAAAGTACCAGATCTGCTGTTCGACAGCAGATTTCGAAGACATATTGCGTAATGCAAAGGATATGCTGCATTCTTAGGGGCAAGCTCTTGTGCGATCAGGCCCTCGCAGATACTTGTTTGGTGCTGCTTGCCGATCCTGCACCTTTGAACCAGCATCTTTTGAGTTTGCTACCGGCTTTGCGGGGCTGTACGCTGCGATCGGCAAGCAGACCTGCGAACTGATGACTTCACCCTCTCACCCTCTCGTCGGAAGTCGAGGTGTCTCGTCATGTCTTTTCTGCATCCCGGAGTCACCGGTGAATGCCTGCCCTTGTCAAAGTCTGGGACGTATCGTATCGTAAAGCAGCAGCTGCACCGTAACGATTAGGGTCATCTGGAAGATGCGAGTTTGCCATCCAGAGAACAAACCTGCAATGCCCAGCCGATTCGTTGCGTCTCTCATTTGCTTCCAAACACTTGGTGGTTCGTCATCCCAGAAGGAGTCGCCGTCCATGGGAATAGGGCACTCGCCCGATCCCCCCTCTACAGAAATGCACGTAAATACAGTGTCTGCAGGCTGGGACGCGAGTGTCGCTGCCGTTGCTGCACCAAAGGCTGCTAAGACTCTTGCAAGCACTGGGTTGACAAAGAGGCTGCAGAAGTCGGACATCACATCGTAGGTGACCAGCTTTGCGACTGTGTAGGAACACTGCTTCATCAACAATGGCACCAAAGCCCCAAACCAGCCTTTCCACACACCCTGATCGCTGCGAAGCTGTTGTAGTGCCAGCCATGTATTCAGGCCAAACATTGTCAGAATCCTTGGCTGTGATACGTGCGCCATGCTCCAAGCATGCGATGAGGCTACTGACCCTATAGACGCAAGACCCCGGAGACATCATTGCAAGATTTGCAAGCATGTCATTCACATACCCCGAGATTAGGAACACCGAGGATGGTACTTTGTAGAGCGATTCACGGACCCACATATTCGGGAATCCCACTGCCCCTTGTGCAGCTGAGGCTCCGATGGATACCATGCATGCCTCTCTTCTGTTGCTTACAGAACCGTTCGTATGCCTGTCTTGTTGGCTCCATGAACGATGGATCTGCAACAAGCATTATTCTTGCCGCTTCCGCCGGACACAACACGACAGTTGCCAGCATCTCTGCTAGAAGAGCGCATATGCACAGCAAGCTGATGTGCCCGGCAACGGAAACAACTTCATGAATCCGAAAGATGGATTTCCAAATCTCGAACAGGCCATACTTGAAAGCACCATGCAGGAAGTAGCCAGTAAACGTCGCGCCAACCCCACTGAGGAGTTTCTGTGGTCCATATTTCTTCACGAGCTTCATCGCCATGTTCAGCATGCCCGGACATCGACCCTCCCTCTCTTCGGTCGCCTGCTGGGACGTCTTAATGACATCAATCGGTGTCGCCAGTACATGCGAGAAGCTGGAGCAAAGGCCACCAGCTACAAAGAAGCCGAAGGGGCCCAAGGTCGCCAACAAACTGGACGGAGAGAACGGTAGAGCGGACAAAGCGAGCTCTGGCGATCGCCGGATGGACATAACGCTATCAGATCTCAGGCTTGGCGCTGGCCTTGAAGGCCTTGGCTGCTCCTGCCGTGTGGTGGCTCTTGCGGCAATGCCAGAGACAAATGCTTCATGTATCGAAGATGTCGAAGGTACTGCGTGCATGGATGCCACCATCAGCAAGGTGATGGACACCATGTTGCTCGAACGACATCTGTGCAGCGATTTGGATCGCTGCGTCTCCGCTCGAGCACGGCCTGACATGTGCAGACATCGGCAAGTGGGCTCCTCCCACTTTCCGTCTTGCGCGGAGCTGATATCCATGGCTCGCAGCCGCATCACTGCCAACTTCTTAAACACCTGACCTGGCGAACTGTGCTGTGCATCTCCATTAGCGTGGCAGGCAAAAGACAAGACTTATCAGTTTCTGCCTCTGGTCAACTTCTCGTGCGACAGTCCTTGCAGGCCGCAATATGCTGGAATGCCTTTTACATAGAGCCCATGCTTACTTTGTGAAGCTGCTGTCGAAATCGATAGTGGGCCATCGGTTCATGTCAGTTGTAGCCGCCAAAGTGAAACTCACCCTGGCCGCAAGCTCAGGGGACAGCGGCTGCGTGATGGCCGATGTGTTCATCTTGACCCCACCCAGGAACGATAAAGACTTCAAAGCTGTTAGAGTCAATGTGCCCCGCTATTCATGCATGATCAACAGCAAAAAGCAATCTAGCTCCTCAGCCTAGTTGCTCACGTATCACAATCGAGCTCGGCGCTGGCGAGCGCGGACTTACTTTGGCCTGAATTAAAAACTGGACATCTGCCTGCTACTAGAAACCACAAGGGCCGGGCTTGCGTGTTTCCACCAGCATGGAACCCACCTGAGTTTCACGAGGGCATACTCGAATCAGAAGCGCTCCTCGGCACAAAACGTTTCCAGATGGTGTCGAACGCCTTTTTTTGGGGCAAGGGCCAGGAAAGCCATTCGTGCCTGCAAGCCAGAGAGCAATGTCTGCGATGCATTCGAAGCACGCTTAGATGCAGAGGCGATGCAATTGACAATGACTTGGATTCACTTGGCCATGTGACACATGGAAGCGACGCCTCCGCCAACATCGTGGGCTCTGCGTTTTTCGAGATCGGAGAGCGTCTGGCGGCTGGTGCCATTCAAGAGCTCAAGAAGAGTCCAGCCAACGTATTCAGGCAATGTAACTGCGAGCATGATGCTGGACATGGTCAACCCCTTCTTTGCCGTTGTTGCGGCTTCCCCTGATTGTTGTCGTTGTCGTTGCTGCTAGAGCTGGTGCCGGTGCTGGCTCTGCTGTTGTTGTTGCTATTAACTTCTGCTCCTCATCGTGCCAGTACTGATATTAATACTGGCAGTAGTCTCCTTCTTGATGCTGCTGCTCTGATAGTGACAAGCACCACCATTATCACTGCATAAAGGCCCGCAACCTCGTAGGCATTGGCCACCTCAGTGAAGCGCTTTTGAGCCTGCCGGCCAAGTAGAATCTGACTAATTACACAGAGGAGTCAGGCCGGCGCCAGCTCCCACTGGCATTCAGCACAGCTGCCGGGCTTTTAAACAACAGAGAAGACAAATTGCAATCCAGCGAACTTGAAACAACTGCGCACTGTGCCATGCAATACAGAACAAGCTCCTTGACCTTTTCAACCAGCTGCGGCTCAAAGCACGCACCTCGTCTCGCTTCTCTGGCGGCTGCCTATCAGGATGCCACTTCATGGCCTCAGTCATCGCTTCAGACAACACCACGCAATGCCTCACTTGGATTTGATTCCGGCCTCCTTCTTGTAGGCCTTCTTTATCTCCTCTTGTGTGGCGTTTCGGCTGATGCCGAGAATCCTGGGTCGCAGGGAAGGAAAAAACCAACCGAGGAGGCCAGAGACAGTTCGCAGGACATCAAGGTGTCGGAGCCTCGGTAGCATCTACTCGCCTCGTGAGGTGCAGCAGTGTTTAGGGTTTAGGGTTTAGGGCCCTAAACCCTAAACCCTAAACCCGATGTAGCATCCACTCCGACTTGCTGACGAAGCTCTTGTAAGGATCCTCGGCCCTGGAGGAGGACGAGAAGCTCCTCGGTCAGTCTCTGCATGCTGCACCTGCTGCACCCTGCCACGCAAAGTCTTCCCAACATCTCACTGCCGCAATAAAAACAGAGATTTCCTGCAGGCACCAAAACCCAGGTGTAGAAGACCAGGAGACGATCCTCACAGTGGCTTTACATCATGCCGTGCGGGAGCGCAGAACTGCAAACGTGCACGATTAGCATGCTGGAACATGGCGGTCGAACCGCAGTTTACAGACTTCTACAACTTCACGTCCACATCAATCTGGACGATGTACCAGTGCCGCATTCTGCTTTCTGCTCTTCAGCCTCTTAGTCTCCTGCTGGAGTCTGCACCCAGTTTGCATCCTGGGACCACCTCGGCATTTGCACATTCCGCAAGACGCCCACCGAACCCCGCCTGCTTGCCCAACCACAACCAGGTTGAGATGTCGCGGCGTGCAGATACGTACGGACGCAGGTACCTATTTAAATCCAGCATCGTAGAGACATCATATAGAATTGCTTCCCGCCGATAGTGTTCAACAGTGTCAACGAATGTCAAGGCGATCAAAGACCTCATACTCTCGACTCGCAACCAGAGAACCCGTCATTTCATTACGATCACACGCTGCAGCTACCATGCGCAACATGTGTGAAATAAGGGCTTCGGTTTCCCTTCCACGGTATGGCTACGAACTGTATAGTATATAATATATGACAGATTAACATGTTATGTTTTATTTTATATCACCTACTATGTATACGGTATACCTGTAGAACCTTATACGAGTAGCTGATAGCGGAATCTCCGCCTACCCTAGCTTTAAAGCAAGTCAAAAATCTCCGACGCTGGGGTGCAGGCGAACGGGCTGGAAGGTGCGCCTGGCAAAGCGACTTTTGCAAGAGCGGATCTTAGTTGAGGTTTCCATGTCACAGTCATGCAGAGAACGATGCAATGCATTGGTCCAGTCCAGGCAGTGCATTAACCGCCGTAAGGTTAAGCGCACTTCACTCGATCCACCTAGCACGGCTGCTCGGTTTGGAAGACGGCTTGCTGCAGCCTGGCTCGCCAAGCGCTGCCATAGCCTGCAGACGGTGACCGAGAGGCTTGGAGTGGCATGAGTGGCAGCTTGAACACCCGGCTTATTTCGTTGGCCATGCTTCTTGACTTAGAAACAAGCAATCAGGTGAGCTCTGTTCACGAGGATCTTCAAAGAAGCTTGGCGCGAGGCATGACACTTGGCGCTCGGCGACCGACTGCCATGTCAGGGAAAACTGCACACAGACGTGCTTTGGCGGACGAGGCTTATGGTACGACGTGCTTGTATGCAGATTCTATACTATGCCACGACGTGGCGTTCAAGACCCTATCAGAATCATTTGTGCAGCATGCGAATTGCTGATCCTGAAGCCACTCAGAGGGAGTCTTGAGCCCAGTCAGCTGCAAGTGGTGAGGGCTCAAATCGGGATAGGGGAGGGCGTCTAGATGGTTCCAGGGCACGAGCGAGGCCCCGATTTGGAAGGCCGTCGCCCGATAGTGTTTGAGAACCTTGGCGGCTGCTGATGCTTTGGGCAGCTTCCGGCAGCCACTCCCGATTCCCTCCAGCAAACTAATTCCGGAGTTGGACCTTTGCCACTGATCGCCGTTGGCCCGACGTGGGAAACTTGTCGGGGCGGTGTCGTCTGGTAGCCGAGACCGCTGGAACAGAGCTCCGCGAGAGCACGGCCGACCCTGACACTGACAGCGGAATCGTGCAGACAGTCATTCACACTCAGGGATACAACTCGGCTGAAGAATTCATTGCGAGTAGCATGCTACCTGGCGTCAATGCCGTCGTAGAAGGCCGTATCATACTGAAGTTTGCGGACCTTGTGTGGCTTGCACTGAATGAAGATAAGAGCAACATGGAGCGGTCTGCTCGGCAAACATGCATCCTCGCCGTGGCTCTGTGCAAGGTCGCGGGGCTAGGCAAGTGATATGTGGTAGCGACTTGAATTCATCAGCATGGCATGACACATTCCGATGCATGCTGGGAAGACCAGGTCAGACGTTCGTCGATTGCGTGCTGTAGTGGTAGGCTGCCTGAGGTAGTGCGATGTCATGGACAGTGCTTCCACATGTGTGAGAAAGCGCTGTTCGCTTAACTGGCGACTTCCTGCGCCCATCATGTAGCAAGATATGACTGCCGGGGTATCGAACCGGAGTCGACTCCACGCAGGATGAGAAGATCTTGTCAGTCTGAGTTCAGCAGACAAGTGCCGCCGATCACAAACGAGGCCCTCCTCTGCTCAGTACGTTGGATACAAAATCCATGCACAAGACGCCAACAATCGCAAGATTCAAAGTTCGTATGGCGGCATCTCAGAGTTTTGAGCTTGTCGAGGCTGCTAAGCTCAACAACTATTACTATTCACATGTGAATTCCTGCCAACCGCTACAGGTTTCGGTGTTGATCGGGGCTTGTGGGGTCCATGATGTTGTGTTTTAGTCCTCGCCGAGGGGCGGTAGATATGTGTCATAACAAACGGTGGAAAGCAAGCTGCAAACGCCCTTGTGACAGTATCTGTGCAAGAAGATCCTTACGCCGGCCTTAAATATGTGCACCAAGTGGCAACGCGTGTATGCTGGAACGTTGGCGTTGGCGCTGCCTTACCATGCCTTACCAACTCTCTCATCTGTCTCCCCTAGTGGGCCTCCTGCGTTGCGACATAACGCCTGCCCCAGCGGCTCGTGTGCGTGCTGGTTTTGATCTCATGTTCGGGGTTGGGCACAGGTGATTATAAACACAAAACAGGGCGAAGATGACAAGTACGGTATAAAGAAAAGCAGAACCCAGTAGGAGCAAATGAAAAGGCGCTGCAGTCGCATTGCCTCCCTTTTCCCGTCGGTTAGCACCAGAGGAACCTGCAATGTGATGTCGTTGCCAGTGCCCTTCTTTCAGAGATAACATTAGCCCGAAAAGGCCGGTAGCAAGTGCCTCTGTGGTCATGAGCACACGTACTTAAAGGATCATGGGACTTAGTAACTAAGGTTATTACTAGGGTAACTATACTCATAGCTGCTTACAACCCCAATTAACGTACTTATAACCATACTTACTAAGTCCCAACGGTCAAGTTAAAACCTGCTGCATACAGTCTTACCAATTGCAATTGCAACTGGGAAGGCCACGCCCCGCGGACCCAAAACCATACCCAGTTTGCGGACCCAAAACAGGGGACACATTCCAGCTCAATGGGAAGCATGGCAGGCATGATCCTCCAAGTACCCGGGCTTAGAGTCCAGGGTGTAGAGCTCAAGTTGGAAAGCTGCTCCTCTCGCTTCGCCGACCGCTCTCACACTCGGAAGCACCCGTCGGAGTCTCCTAGGTGAGGCCCTCTGAATAGTGCGCACTTCTAGGCGGCTTCAAGCCAAGGCTTCGACAATCTTAAACAACTACCTGAAGGGGCAAATGCAGATCAATGCCTGTGATTGAACTTCCGGAAGAAGTTTGAACAAGCTCCATGCAGAGCCATGCCTCTAGCCAATTTTTCAGCATAATCGTACGATATGAGCGTGTCCTGTCGGCTCTCAGTAGCACCACGGTGAACGAACGTACCTTACCTTTTCCAGCTGAGCCTTCTGCGAAATAAATCATGGGTGAAACGCCACTGCACACGCTAACCTGAACGCATCACTGAACCCCCAGGCGGCATGGAACTTCTCATCGCTTCTGCCTGTCATCACAGTCAGGCAACTGCCGGGTTCAAAGCACAAAGTATCGTTGTCTCTGGACTGCCATGCCCTGGACGAATGCAAGCGCTAGATCTCTTTGATGCAGAGAGTTCTTGCACTTTATGGGAGTTTCCAAAAATTAGGGGTACCTTATTTTGGTGGTCCTTATAATAAGGATCCTATTATTTAGGGTACTATATTAGGGTCCCCTATTTTCGGAAACCCCCTTATACCATAAGCATAGCCAACGAGCCGCAGGATCCCTGCTTGGAAAAGTGCCAGGCAGACCTGGCCGTTGACAAAGACATGGTGACCGCCAGAGCTGCAGTGAGCAAGGCCACCGCCGTCACGTACCTGTGCGACCCCAAAAAGTAACATGCCATCGTCTTACATAAGCAGAGCACCTACTGAGTAGAACCTACGGATCTGTGCCAAGGCTGCTGATGGCGCACGGCCAGTGTCCTGACGCCGCTGGTGTCTGCGTGCACCTAGGTGACTGTCCCATAGAGCAGAACTACTTCTAGCCATGAAGCCGTCATCTAGTTCTGCCACTGAGGACTGCGGGGTCTTGCAACAGTTGGCACCGAAGAGTCTCGGCTTTCTTTCGTCTCGTCACAACGAGACTTGGTCCCCCATTCATCGTGTTGAACAACAGCTTGAGACAGCGGCCCGTGCCTTCGCAGATGCGCATCGCGAAAATGGACGTGTCAGCCATATTGCCCCTTCGGGGCCACAAAAGCTGCCGGTCATGCCGAGTCTTTGACTGAACATTATCCGGCTGTGGAAGGACATAATCCTTAAGCTGCACTCTATCAGAGCTGTGCCCGCGCCTGTCATTCTAAACTTTCCAAACTTTTGTTGCTTTATTGCTCTTTTGTCCTTTTTGGGCAGCTATGCTAGGTCGGAGGGCCTTTAGCATATTAACAGCAGACCCAAAGACGATGGGAGCAGCGCCAGAGACTATAGCCTGACCCTGAGAGCAAGCACAGGCTCTGCAAGGGGGCAGTCACGGTTCAGCGACTCAGAGGATGAGGCAAGCAGGTTTGAGATGGACAAACCTGCAACAAGATGCCTTCGATGCCACCAGACAGGGATGGCTACAGTGTGTCAGCCTCATAGCTCCTCCCTGAGCCTCAAATCCGCACACCGCTCGGGCTCGTACCGTGCTCACTCCCGTGCTCACTCGCCCTTCTCGCCCGCGCAATGTGGAGCTTGTCCTCATCCAAAGTGCCAAGCTTGACAAACAAGGTGTCGAAGTCATCGTCAACCCGATCGCGGCATATGCCCAGAGCATGACCGATGTGCTCTCGGAGGACGGTGTTGATCTTTCCGAAGCTCTCCATCTCTTGCCTTGCATGCCGCCAGGAACAAGCCAGCTCGCACATCCTACTACGGCTGATGGACAAAATCCTGCATGACCTTATATACCTAAACTATGGGACTTATGGTGCTATACTATATTTGGGTCATGCAGAATTTTGTCCATCAACCGTAGTAATCGTATCAAGCGGAAGTCATGAGTCGGCACAGTGCAAACTCATACCTGCGAGAGCTTGCAGGCACGTGTTCCATCGAAGGTCAAGCTGCAGCACGAGCTGGGTGATCATGTTCTTGTCCTCGGACTGTCGGGTTCATACCAACTGAAATCCCAAAGCTGCAAGAGCTGCACAGAGTCTCAGGGTCCTGTTCCGTGGTGGCTTCTGCATCCTCTAAGCTGAGCGTTGACAGGCGCTCTCCAATTTGCATTGACATCTCGACGGTGGAGGCTCCAAAATTCAGGACCTTGGTCCCGTTTGCATGGACCGCTCAGCCATGGTGGCAGTGTGGCAAGTCTGAGTCTGCAGCACCATTCTCCGTGCAGAATAACAAGCCTTTGAAACCAACCTGGCCAATGAAACCGGTAGAGCAAGAGCGAGTTTGTGCTGCAGCCCATGCAGAAACCGCTTCCGATGCCCTCGTGCCCTCAACTAGCAGCTGATGGGTGACTCTTGAAACACAGGCTGCTGTCTTGTCAACACGGCCTGTGATTGTTCCAGCGTGATGGTCTGCAGCAACTCGAAGAGGCACCATGACCTTCCATGGGGTAAAACAGGGCTAAGCTACTGGAAAGCTTCTGGCAATGTGGCTCAAGGCTGGTGGCAGGAAGCCCGTGGAACCGAACCGAACCGCAGGAACCGAACCGCGACGAACCGAACCGCAACGAATCGCGCGAACCGCGAACCGAACCGCACGAACCCAAGTCCTGCAAACCGAACCGAACCGCGATCTTTATTCGTATTGTTATTACTACGCCATTTTGAGGGTTTAGGGGCCTGAACACACCAAAATGATGAGCCAAGTCCCGCCCAAGTCACTTGGCTCAGCATTTTGGAGTTTTCGGGGCCTGAAAACTCCAAAATGATGGGCCAAGTCCCGCCGAAATCACTTGGCTCAGCATTTTGGAGTTATCGGGGCCTGAACACTCTAAAATGATGAGCCAAGTCCCGC